GCCGAAATGTACAAGAAGCTTATAAAGGAGTTTAGTAATAGGTTTTTTTTTTAAAATATATAAGTTAAGTACTTGTTATTTTTATGTATTAACTATTTCATCTTTTCATTTCTGTATCAAGTTAAGTTCTTGTTATTGTTATGTATTAACATTATGTTTAAGACTTGTTGTAGTACTTAAGATGTAATCGTACGTAGTATGTAGTAGTAATTTAATCGTATGTATTTTTAAATGATATTAGATGTTGTAATCTTATGTGTTGGAGTAATAATATTATGTTTCTACAAAAAAAAAATGTAATTTTCTATTAAGTAGAGCTTATATAAGTTTTTTCACATGAAAAATATTTTATGTTAATTACTCTTATCTATAACAAAATCTTACCTTATTTACCAAAAATCTTATCCCTCTGGTAAAAATCTTATCTTCTGTTAAAAAATCTCATTTTATTTGCCAAAAAATCTTATCTTATCTGCCATAAAATATGACCTTATCTAACGAAATCTTATCCACTGTTAATAAAATCTTATCTTCTGTTAGAAAATCTTATCTTATGGTAAAAAATCTTATCTTACCAGATTGCAAATCATTTTTTGTATCTTTAATTTTATCTCAATTGTCTATAAATTGACCTATTTCACTTACAACACTTTCACTATTACAACTACAACTACATATTACTAATTTTAAAATGAGTAGTAATTCAAATTCTTCCACTTCTAGTGATGAAATCTATGACTACATGTTGCTTGATTTTATTGAGGAAAATTGGCAACAACAAATCATAGAAGATGCATCGAGTCATTGAGATATGTGGTTAACACCACCATGCAACAACAATAAGAAGATGTTCCACACCAGAGAAAACGAAGGGAAGTTATACCACATAATCGCAAAGCAGCACATGATCAGTTGGTTGCTGACTATTTCAGCGAACAACCATTATATGATAAGTGTCAAAGTAGGTTTCGCATGCTGAAACCTCTATTTATGAAGATAGTGAACCAACTAAGTGAAACTGATTGATTCTTCCAGCAACATCTAGATGCTAGTAAGAGTTTGGGTGCTTCTCCAATACAAAAGTGCACAGCGGCTATAAGGATGTTAGCATATGGCTGTGCAACTGATCAAGTTGACGAGTACCTCAAGGTTGGGGCAACTATGGCTAGGCATTGTATCACGCACTTTGTTGATGGAGTGATTCGTGAATTCTCAGCAGAATACTTGAGGAAACCAATCCCTTAAGATATGAATCACCTTCTAAGAGAAGGAGGGGAAAAAGTTTTTCCTGGTATGTTGGGAAGTATCAACTGCATGTATTGGGAGTGGAAAAATTGTCCAGCGGGGTGGAAAGGGATGTATTAAGGGCGATCGAAAACGGCAACGGTTATCTTAGAAGCTGTTGCATCTTGTGATTTGTGGATATGGCATGCCTTTTTCGAAACACTTTGATCCTGCAATGATATTAATTTCCTTCAACGTTCACCCGTCTTTGACGACATTTTAAATGGTCATGCTCCACAAATTCAGTTCACCATTAATGGAAATACTTACAATCAGGGGTATTATCTCACTGATGGGATCTACCCAAAATGGGCAACATTTATAGATGCAATAACTGCACCGCAAATCCCTAAACAATGATTGTTTACTACCAAACAAGAGAGTATTAGAAAAGATGTAGAAATTGCATTTGGAGTGTTGTAAGCTCAATTTTCCATTATAAGACGTCCTACTGATGAATCATATTTAAATAAGGTTCTTAGGCACGTTTATGTTAGTTTTTATACCTTTTTCTTAGTCTTTTTGGTCGATTTTAGGGTCATATTTGCATAAGTCATCATATATCACTCTATTACGCCCCGTTTGTGTATTTCTTAATGTTTCAGGTGATTTCGTAGTCATTTGGACGCTTTCGAAGTGTTTGGAGATGATTCAAATGATATTTGAATGGAAATAGATGGATCGAGTTCATTGACCGAGGGATTTATGCTTGTGGATGTTGTCTCTAAGGATTATATGCATGAGAATAAATAGCATCCACAAGGATCGATATGCACTTTTCGGAATTGAATTTGAGTTAAAAATAAAGGAAAACGAAGGCTTGCAAAGTATCAAAAAGGACCTTTGTGCATTATTTCAGCCATATCTCGAGTTCTAAAGACTGGATTGAGGTGATTCATGTTGGGTTGGAAACTAGACTTGAAGGTCTTTCCAATGATAGGTGGCACGCCTTCATATAATTCCTATATTGTGAGTTACAGCCTTCCGAAATTGGTCCTGCAAATCTGCCAGCAAGCGCCCAGCCATCGGGCGATGGTTTAACCGCACACACGACCCTTCGAATCTTCCTAGCCCAATGGAAATCCATCGGACGATGGTCTTCGTCTTAGCCCTTGATCACTCGACCATCGGCCATCCATCGGGCAATGGGTCTGGCGTGCAGGAATCTTGCTTTCCGTCAATTGTAATTCTCGTGACCAATTAAAAGACGACCTTTGTTACTTTTATTTCCTTATTTTATTTTATCTATTTTATTTTACTTAGGATTAGGCTTTAATATAAGGAAAAAGATATATACAGCCTTAAGGGCTGCATATAAGAAGCCAAAAATAGAAAGAATTGACAATTAATAAACATTTATTACACCGATTTACTCGTGAATTGTCGATAAATTCCCAACTTAATACTAAAAAATGAAGTATATTAAATGCTTATATGTAGACCTAAGGGCTGCATATAGCATTACCCTTAATATAAATACTTGAGAGGATTTTATTTTCCTCTTTTATGCTTCATTTTTCTAGATTAAACGCTTCTTAGTTTTTTCTCTCCATTGTTGAACCCTAGCTTTTCATTCTCCGTTAACTCAATCATTGAGGAATTTTCATTCAATCTTTCGTTATTTATTTATTTTATTAATTATGAATTCAAGTTTATTTATCTCTTTTGTTTTGTTTATTCAATTATGAGTGAGTAGTCGTTTTCTAGAGTTAAGTGAGGGAAGCCATGTTTATACCATGATTATTTGTGCTTAACTATTTATAAATTTATGAATTAGGGTTTGAATAATTTCAATTGATTTGTGCTTTATGGTTTGATTCATGTAATTGGCCAATATCATGAGTTAATTATTTAGCTAATAAAAATTAGAATTGAAAGATCATATTTTTATAGGCTTAATTACAATTGGCGAATTTGATTATGTTAGAGACTGAACTACATATGTTAATTCGTAAGTTTTAATTCCCGACCGTAGGATTAACAAGTGCTTTAATAATTCGACCTAGTTTGTTTATTAATGGATTGTTTGCATTTCTTGGTTTGGTATAAGCATGGTGGACCGACCGTATGCCCTAGACTTTAATTTATCTGTGAACAACCTTATTTTCATTATTGTCATTCTTTAGTTAATTAATCATCAAATCACTCTTCGTTTATCGAAATAGTTTATAATAATTAGGAAAAAACTAATAGAACCTGTCTCCCTGTGGGATTCGACCTGTATTTGTGCTAAGTCTGCGCTAACAACAGACACCGTGCACTTGCGCTATAACTTTTTATTCATCAAGTTTTTGGTGTCGTTTCCGGGGAGACGGCTAGATTCTATTAGTTTTAGTTTGATTGTTTGAACTGTTTCCATTGTCCCATTGGAACTTCTAGTTTTAATTGGGACATTGTCGTTGCTTTCTTTTCTTTTTGTTTATGCCCAGGTCAAAACGAACAGGTGATTTGATCCTTACGGATCTGGCCTTAGACAAGACCCTTAGGCAACTCAAAAAACAAGGGAAAGGAAAGAAACAAAAGATCCACTCATAGAAGAGCTCTACAACACAGTTTGACATACGCAAAGAGATGACTGATAATAGGTGTCTTAATTCTTACGGGGTACCATCCCAAGATGGCATTCCAACGGGTCTTAAAATGCCAGCAATCACTGCAGAGAACTTTGAAATTAAACCCGCATTTCTTAGTATGGTCCAACAAAATCAGTTTAGCGGCCATCCTATTGACGAGCCAATTAATCACTTGCAGCGATTTCAACAATTGTGCTCCACTGTTCATCACAAAGGAATCAATCAAGATCAATTGAAAGTGATGTTGTTCGGATTTTCCCTTCGCGATAGAGCTCAAAAATGGTTGAATACCGTTAAGGAGACGGAGTGGAGCGAAATTTCTCAAGCATTCCTCAAAGCGTATTTCCCTCCTGAAAAAACTGAAAAGATTCGACATCAAATATCAACATTTTCTCAAGAGTCGGGAGAATATCTTAGGGAAGCATGGGATAGATTCTTATATCTTCAACGATCATGCCCGCATCACAATTTTGAGAAGTGGAATCTTGTTCGTATTTTCTATAACGGACTAGAACCCGAGACTAAATGTATTGTTGATTCTGCCGCATGTGGTGTTTTCCTTGACAAGACAATCGAGGAAGGGTATGATTTTCTTGCAAATCTTGCAGCCAATCATTTCTCTTCTCCAAGAACGCGAGCAAAGAAAGGGAAGATGGAAGTTGAAGCCTATTCAATCTTGAATTCTCAGATGGCTCAATTAACTGCAAAGATTGATGCATTACAGGCCACTTAGGAATCCTATCTTGTATCTGTTAATGTTATGTCTTCTCAACCTCTACAAACTAACTTTTTTGTGAATTATGTGGTATATAGGGTCACTTTGGATATCAATGTGCTCAGAATTCTCAAGATACCAATAAGATGGAGCAAGTGAATGCTTTTCAACAAAGGCAACCAAATGACCCATATTCTAACACATTCAATCCAGGTTGGAGGAATCATCCCTAATTCTCATATAAAAGCAACAATGTTCAAAACCCTCAAACTCAGCAACAGTGGTCACAGCCTCAGAACCCTCAGCCTCAACAATATGCTACAAGGCCTCCACTCAACCAACAAGGAGCCTCTCATCATGCTCCTCCGGGTTTCAATAGACCACCTCAACAATCTACTCATGGAAATGCTAGCACTCAAGAGCCGACTATGTCTGACCTTATGAGAATGATGACATCCATGAAGCAAAACACTGAAGATAACATCAAGGAGTTGAAAAATACGACAAAGCATTTGGAGAACCAAATCGCACAAGTCGCTGGCACCAATATCCAAAGGCAACCTGGCCACTTACCAGGACAACCTATCCCTAAGGAGACCGCCAATGCTATCACTACTCGTAGTGGTGTTAGCTATGAAGGGCCCCAAATGCCTATTGATGATGCAAATCTTGAGAAGGAGAATAGTGAGGTTGTAGAGAAAGATGTGGATGATGTTCCCACCTTGAAGGATGGGAAAGCTAAAACAAGTGAGGTTGATAAAGAGAAAAAGAAAGGTTTCGAGCCTCCATCCATCGAGCTAAAGCTACCATTCCCACATCGGATGCAAAAGAACAAGGTAGATCAACAATTTGGTAAGTTCTTGACTATGGTCAAGAACCTTGAGGTAACTGTTCCTTTTAATGATTTGGTCTCTCAAGTTCCAATGTGTGCAAGTTTTTAAAGGAAATGATTACTAAGAATAAAGACTTTGGTGGTGTAGAAACATTTGCTCTAACTGTAGAGTGTAGTGCTATATTGCAATAAATCCCCACCTAAGCTTAAGGACCCTGGTAGTTTTTCCATCCCATGTCATGTAGGTGCATTATTCATTGATAAATCTTTATGTGACTTAGGTGTTAATGTGTCTATTATGCCTCAATCTGTTTGTAACAGGTTGAATATGGGAGCTTTAAAATGCACATAGATCACTTTGCAAATGTCGGATCGTTCTATAAAATACCCTTTAGGTGTTTTGGAGGATGTCCCCGTTCGGGTTGGGAAAATTTTCATTCATGTTGACTTTGTAGTTTTGGATATGGAGGAGGATAGTAATATACCGATCATATCAGGTAGACCTTTTGTGTGTACTACAAGTGATGTTATTGATGCCAAGTTTAGGTCCCTTACTTTGTCTGTTGGTGATGATACAGTGACTTTTAATCTAACTAATGCGATGAAATCGCCTATGCTTGAGAATACTTGTTGCAGGATTGATGTTCTTGATGAGATTGTGAGAGATGATACGCCTCGTGAGTTAGCTAATGATCCATTAGAAGCTGTTCTCACCCTAGAGGTCTCTGAAGGAGAAGGAGATGCAGAGATTGACTCCTTGATTCGTGACTTGGATGCCCCTAACACTAAGGGGTTTGAGGTAATGGAAACTATTTGTTCTACTTCTGAGTCACAAGTAAAAAAGGTAGAGTTAAAACCTTTGCCTTCTCATCTTAAATATGCATTTCTTGATAATAATAGGGAATGCCCTGTAATTGTTAGTGCTAAACTCGATGATAGCCAAATTCTAAGCTTTTGACTGTGCTTCGCATGCATAAAAAGGCAATCGGGTATAGCATTGACGATCTTATAGGGATAAGTCCTAATTTTTGTATGCATAGAATCAATTTGGAAGAGAATCATCGCCCTTGCATCCAAGCACAACGTCGATTGAATCCTAATATGCAAGAGGTGGTGAAGAAAGAGGTAATGAAATTTCTTGACGCGGGCATCATCTACCCCATCTCAGTATCTAAGTGGGTGAGCCCGGTACAAGTCGTTCCTAAGAAAGGGGGGACAATTATTGTTAAAAATGATAGAATGAACTAATTCCTACTCGTGTTGTCACAGGTTGCCGTATGTGTATCGATTATCGCAAGTTGAATACGGCCACCTTGAAAGATCACTTCCCCTTACCTTTTATAGATAAAATGCTTGAAAGATTAGCAAAACATAGTTTTTTCTGTTATTTGGATAGATATTCAGGTTTCTTTTAGATTCCCATTTATCCGGAAGATTAAGAGAAGACAACGTTCACATGCCCCTATAATACATTTGCTTATCGCAGAATGCCATTTGGGTTGTGTAATGCCCCAGCGACACCTCAAAGGTGTATGATGGCCATTTTCTCTGATTTCATTGAGAACATCATGGAGTTATTTATGGATGATTTCAGTGTTTATGGTTTCGACTTTGATATGTGCTTGCATAATCTTTCTAAGGTGCTTAAACGTTGTACTAACGTTAATTTGGTCTTGAATTGGGAAAAGTGTCACTTCATGGTCAATGAAGGAGTGGTACTTGGTCATCTTATTTCTGATCGTGGCATCTAAGTTGACAAAGCAAAAATTGAGGTGATTAAGAAACTTTCCCCTCCCGTGAATGTCAAGGGAGTGAGAAGTTTTCTTGGTCATGCAGGGTTTTATCGTCGATTTATACAAGATTTTTCGAAAATAGCGAAACCCCTCACTCAATTATTGCTTAAGGATGCCACATTTGAGTTTACTGATGCTTGTATGGAGTCTTTTAATAGGATTAAGGAGGCATTGATAACTGCTCCAATCATACAACCTCCGGATTGGGATTTGCCATTCGAGATCATGTGTGACGCGAGTGACTATGCTGTGGGAGTCGTGCTTGGATAACAAAAGAATAAGGTTTTGCATGCCATTTATTATGCTAGTAAAACCTTGGATGAGGCTCAGATGAATTATGCCACCACTGATAAAGAGCTCCTAGCTATTGTGTATGCTCTTGACAAGTTTCGAACTTACCTCATTGGTTCGAAAGTAATTGTCCACACTGACCATGCCGCTCTGAAGTATCTCCTACCAAAGAAAGAGGCTAAACCGAGGCTCATTCGATGGATTTTGCTCCTTCAAGAGTTCGATTTAGAAATTCGAGAGTATAAGGGTGTCGAGAACATTGTTGCGGATCACCTCTCTCGATTGAGATTTCAGTCTACTTCAGATAGCCCTATAAATGACTCTTTCCTCGATGATCAATTATTCTCTATTTCTTCTGTATCTCCATGGTATGCTGACTAGGCTAATTTTTGTGTAGGTGGTTCACATCCTCCAGATTTGACTTACCAACAACGCAAGAAGTTCTACGCCATGATGCCAAGCGGTACTTTTGGGATGACCCTCATTTTTATCGTAAGTGTGCTGATGGAATGTTTCGGAGATGTGTAGCAGATTGGGATACTCATGGTATCCTTCATAATTTCCATAATCTACCTTCTAGTGGACATCTTAGTTCTACTGCAACTGCCTACCGAATGCTTCAATGTGGTTTCTATTGGCCCTCATTATTCAAGGATCTCGTGCCTTTTACAATGCATGTGATGAGTGTCAAAGAACAGGAAATATATAGAAGAGGCAAGAGTTGCCACAAAATGGGATTCTTGAGGTCGAGCCTTTTGATGTCTGGGGCATTGATTTTATGGGACTATTTCCCTCTTCTTGTGGAAATCAGTACATTTTGGTTGCCGTTGACTATGTCACCAAGAGAGTCGAAACTATTGCGTCGCCTACTAATGATTCGAAGGTCGTTATGAAGCTATTCAAAAAGATCATCCTTTTGCGCTTCAGAGTCCCAAGAGTTGTTATTAGTGACGGTGGTTTTCATTTCCATCAGCGAACTTTCAAGTCTCTTCTTAAGAAACATGGAGTTACTCACAAGGTTGGCTTGGCCTATCATCCTCAAACGAGCGGCCAAGTTGAGGTGTCTAATCGACAAATCAAGAGAATCCTTGAAAAGGTAGTCAACAAATCCCGCAAAGATTGGTCATTGAAGTTGGATGATACATTGTGGGCATTGCGAACGACTTACAAAACTCCGTTAGGGACAACTCCGTATCGGTTGGTGTATGGCAAAGCTAGTCATTTACTGGTCGAAATGGAATACCTTTCACAATGGGTCGTCAAGGAGATTATTTTAGATCTAGAGAAGGCCGGTGAAGCGAGACTTCTTCAATTGAACGAGCTAGATGAGATTCGGCTCGATGCTTACGAGAATCATAGGCTCTACAAGGAGTAAACAAAGAAGTTTCATAATAAGAAGATCCAAAAACGAGAGTTCAATAATGGTGACAAGGTGTTGCTTTATAACTCAAGACTTCGACTCTTTCCTGGAAAGCTTAAGTCTAGATGGTTCAGGACTTTCACAGTCACCGATGTCAAAGCATATGGAGCCATAGAGGTTGCTAGCAAAAAGGCACAAAATTCAAGGTAAATGGACAACGTTTAAAGTTATATACCGAGGGTGCTTTCATCGGCAAATTGGAGACGATTTATCTCTCCGATACACCAATTGAGATTGATACTAAGGTAAGAAGTCGAGCTCACGACTCAAAATGAGCTCTTATTGGGAGGCAAACAGATTTCCTAATTCTTCTTTTATTATGATTCTTTTTAGTTTTTTTTTTCCCTTTTCTTTTTAGTTTCTCTTCCTTTTTGTTTTTAATTTTTCTTACTTTCCTTCTTTTTTTTTATTTTTAATTTTTCTATTCATTTATTTATTTATGTATGCTATTCTTCTAGTTTTAATTTCTTTTTTTTAGTGTTAGTTTCGTTTAGTTTTTTTGTTTTTGTTTTACTTCACTAACTCTATTAACGTTGTTTGTTTTTCTTTTTAAATTTTAGTGAAGGTATAAATTTTATTTTATGGTTGTGTTGTTATTATAAACTATTATTATCACTCTCCCAGCTAGTTCAACTCTTACATCTCCCAAAATGTTAATCCTACCTCTCACCCTAGCCCCATTACAACCCTCATAAAGACCTTTTGATCTTCGTGCATGAGTGATGATTAAGTGAAATGAGTTTTGAGTCAAAGTTAAAGAGTATTTGTTGCATTCCGAGTCGACATGGTATAGGTTGAGTGTCTGTTATAACCCTAAGCTGGTAGGGCACCTCTCGTGCTCGACTTCAGCATATCTACAGGAATCGGCGGAGACTAGCTTGGAAAGAGACTGTTTGTGGCCTCTAGATTGGCGAATTAATTGCAGGACTATGAGTGCTACGTGGTTCTATATGTATCCGAGCCAGATTTCAGTTTTGCTAACTTTGGTTTGACAGTTTTATCGAGAGTCAAGTCGGTCTTATTCTGGTTCCCTAAAAGTGTTATTTTTCTTGTTTCTCCGTCTTGAGTCAAGTTTTTCTTAGGGACAAGCAATGGTTTAGCTTGGGGGAATTTGATGAATCATATTTATATAAGATTCTTAGGCACGTTTATGTTAGTTTTTATACCTTTTTCTTAATCTTTTTGGTCGATTTTAGGGTCATATTTGCATAAGTCATCATATATCTCTCTATTATGCTCCGTTTGTGTATTTCTTAATGTTTCAGGTGATTTTGTAGTCATTTGGACGCTTTCGAAGTGTTTGGAGATGATTCGAATGATATTTGAATGGAAATAGATGGATCGAGTTCATTGACCGAGGGATTTATGCTCGTGGATGTTGTCTCTAAGGATTATATGCATGGGAATTGAAAATATCATCCACAAGTATCAATATGCACTTTTTGGAATTGAATTTAAGTTAGAAACAAAGGAAAACGAAGGCTTGCAAAGTATCAAAAATGACCTTTGTGCATTGTTTCGGCCATATCTCAAGTTCTAAAGATTGTATTGAGGTGATTCAAGTTGGGTTAAAAACTAGACTTGAATATATTTCCAATGAAAGGTCGCACGCCTTCATACGATTCTTATATTGTGAGTTACAACCTTCCGAAATTGGTCCAGCAAATCTGCCAGCAAGCGCCTAGCCATCGGGCGATGGTTTAGCCGCACACACGACCCTTCGAATTTGCCTAGCCCGATGGAAATCCATCGGCCGATGTTCGTCGTCGTAGCCCTTGATCACTCGACCATCGGCCATCCATCGGGCGATGGGTCTGGCGTGCGGGAATCTTACTTTCCGTCGATTGTAATTCTCGCGACCAATTAAAAGATGACCTTTGTTACTTTTATTTCCTTATTTTATTTTATCTATTTTATTTTACTTAGGATTAAGCTTTAATATAAATACTTGAGAGGATTTTATTTTCCTCTTTTATGCTTTATTTTTCTAGATTAAACACTTAGTTTTTTCTCTCCATTGTTGAACCCTAGCTTTTCATTCTCCGTTAACTCAATCATTGAGGCATTTTCATTCAATCTTTCGTTCTTTATTTATTTTATTAATTATGAATTCAAGTTTATTTATCTCTTTTGTTTTGTTTATTTCATTTATGAGTGAGTAGTCGTTTTCTAGGGTTAAGTGAGGGAAGCCATGTTTATACCATGATTATTTGTGCTTAATTATTTATAAATTTATGAATTAGGGTTTGAATAATTCCAATTGATTTTTTCTTTATTGTTTGATTCATGTAATTGGCCAATATCATGAGTTAATTATTTAGTAATAAAAATTAGAATTGAAAGATCATATTTTTAGAGGCTTAATTACAATTGGCGAATTTGATTATGTTAGCGACTAAACTACATATGTTAATTCGTAAGTGTTAATTCCCGATCGTAGGATTAACAAGTGCTTTAATTATTCGACTTAGTTTGTTTATTAATGGATTGTTTGCATTTCTTGGTTTGGTATAAGCATGGTGGACCGACCGTATGCCCTAGACTTTAATTTATCTGTGAACAACCTTATTTTCATTATTGTCATTCTTTAGTTAATTAATCATCAAATCACTCTTCGTTTATCGAAATAGTTTATAATAATTAGGAAAAAACTAATAGAACATGTCTCCCTGTGGGATTCGACCTGTATTTGTGCTAAGTCTGCGCTAACAACAGACATCGTGCACTTGCGGTATAACTTTTTATTCATCCCCTACTTTGGCATGGAGTGTCGAAATGTTGTGGAAAATTGTTATGGCGTGTATTATCATGCACAATATGATCGTGGAAGATGAGCGCAAAAGTTATCTTAAATATTGGGATCCTAATGAGTTTGCTACTGAACAACCCGAGTATTTAGCAGGAACTTCAAACCGAAGAGCAACGACTTTCACCATAACCCTGCGCTACCAAAATCCTAACCTAACCACATTAATGGCAGCAACGGAAAATCTCCACGATAAACAAACTCATATGTCACTTAAACAAGATTTGGTAGAACATTTGTGGGCAAGATTTGGGCATACTAGTAATCGGTAAGGAAAAAGGAGGATATTTAGTTATTTGTCTTTAATTTCTTGTATTGTTGTACTTTAGTGTATCAATTAGTGTTTTTAGTCCTAAAGCCATGTGTTATTGTATCAAAATGTTGGTAAAGTATGATAATTTTTATTATGCTAATTATCGAATACTAATTATTATTAATATTATTATTATTAATATTATTATTATTATTATTATTAATATTATTATTATTATTATTATTATTATTATTATTAGATCTTATCATTAAAGAAATCAATAATAATATGGTGGGGCCATATTTATAGTATAAAATATATTAAGAGGATACCCTTTGATGTGGGAAAAATAAATGGAAGAGGATGGAAGAGGGGAAAGAGATAGTAAAAAATGAGGTGGATGAAAGAGAGTATGAGGTGTTAAAATAGGGTAAGGAAAGAGAATGAATGAGAGGATAAATCCATACTCTATAATATTCATGCTCTCATATAATCTATCC